ACGGCAAAGCGCCAAGTGGCCGACAAGTTGCCAAAATTGGCAAGGCTTAAATGGACATGGCAACAACATCACCAGCAACAGCAACGACAATAATACAACAAACTTATAAGCTGCTGACGTCTTGGCGTTTTTGGTTATTTCCTAGCCCGCCTCTGTTCAAGTAATTTATGTTTAAACTGCTGCGTGTGGGCGGCTCTTTTGAGCAATGGGTCAGCATTTGAATTACGCATACGACGCATTGTCCGATTAGAATCGATTGAACCTCTTTTGCCTTATATGGCAATAGCCAGCTTACAATCTCTTATGATTTCATTTGCATAGCCGAGCACACTAAATAAACTCTTCTTAACTTTATTGCCTACTCGGCTCGGTTAGTTATTTAATAGATACACAAATTTTGTTGTTGTTGTTTCATTTCCGACATTGTCAAGTGTTGCAAGTGAAGCACTAAATGAAGTTAATTTTGTTGCTGCTGCTCTGATTGTTATTTACGGTTATTTATCTACACCTTTTACATGCTACTTGCAACTCGCTTTAAACACACAAAACACACATTTAAATTAGCTGATTTATGGTTATTTGATGAGCAACCGCCTTCTTCTTCTTCTTCTGCTGCTGTTGCTGTTGCTGTTGCTACTGCTCCAAAAAATTGGTGTTTAAGGTTTTTATTTTATGTATGCAGCGTGTGTAACAACAACAACGACAAAAGCGACAATCAGAATAACAACGAAAATTCTTACAGCTGCCGTTTCAGTGCCAACTCTTTTATTGTTTTTGTTGTTTTTCGTGCTGCGTACTTTATTATTAATTTTAAACGTGGGCACAGCAACAAAAACAACAACAACAGCAACAAGTACTACATACGACACCCACAGCATTTGTCAAGTTGTTTGGATTTGTTATTTTTCATACCCTCGCCGAGGGTATTATAATTTTGGTGTGAATTGAAGGAGACATTTCGGAATCTATTCATATTAAATATGTTGATCAACATCAGACGAGTCCATGTCAGCCCTTTTCACTGTTTCTCTGCGAACTAGTTTCAGTCAGCAATTATATTTTTTATAATAGAAAATACTTCTACAAAATGTAAAAACAATGTAGAAAAAAATAATGAAATTGACTCTCTGAACTACTATCTTTAAGTTTAGCTGACTTAGAAGTCGCATAGCTCTGTGGGAAGTCATTCAACTAATGAACGAAGGGTCCTAAATTCTAAACTTTTGAAAATGTTTGTAAATGTCTTTAAATACTGAGGTATAATAATAATATTAGGACCAAAAATGCTAATCTAAGAGTTTATACATATAAGAAAAAATGTTCCTGCTTTTTTAGAAATATACTTTCTGAATAATAAAGTTAAGTGTGATTTTATAGCGGCAGTTAGTCTTATCCAACTTAATGAAAGTTAAAGCTGCAGGCAGCATACATGTCAGAGCTGGATTGCATCCAAATATCAACAGAACAATGGGTTTTTTAAATGTCAATTTCGACAGTTTGACTGGGATCTGCAAGGGTATGTAAACATCGGTGTGCTCAAGTTGATCGTTCTTTCTTGAATTTTTATTTATTTTTTCATAATGGTCTCTTCGGCTCTTTTTTGCCTGGCCGCATTTGTTATTACGTTTTGTGGTTTCTTTAATGTGGTGTTGTTGTTGTTGTTGTTACTGTTTTTATACGCGATTAATTGTTGCAATTTGAACATTTCAACACACGTCGCGGTCGCAGTCGCAGTCGCAGTCGGCGCTTGCTTCTAATTGCATAAACACAAATTACTCATACGCGGCGTATGCGCTCGCATAATTATTGCTTAGTGGCAACACATCAAATCATTGCTGCTGCTGCGTGGGCAGCACATCAAAAATCAAACTAGCAATTCAGTTGCCAACAGCGCATCCTCTTCATCAGCAACTGAATAACAATTATATACTCAACTATATGTTATTCGGTGTGTGTGTGTGTGTATATATATTTATCTATATATTTTTATTTTTTTGCATTTGCCATTTTTATTTATTGTTTAACAAATATCACTCCCCTCTCTCTCTCTCTATCTAACTATCCCTCAGTGTGTGCGCCCTGCCCCTGCAAATGAATTGCTTTTATGCGCTCATTTGCATATTAAATAAGCGGCTGCTTTCAGGCAGAGGCCGCAGCAGATCCAGAAGCACAGACTGAGACTGAGACTGAAGCAATGCATTTGTGTTGGTTGTTGTTGTTGTTGTTGTTGCTATGTGGTTAGTTTCTAAGCGGCAGCAGCTGCCGCCAATGTAAAGAACAACGTTGTAGGTTGGACGGCGTATTACGCGAGGCAGCTATTTATTTGCAGTATTTTCTGGTTGTTGTTGCTGCTGCAAAAAACAACAACAACGTTTTTTTTTCTCTTCTTTTCACGTTGTATACTCGATTTGGTTTGTTGACGTAAAACAAAGAAATCGCGCCAAGTGGGCAACCCAAAGGGCAAGTGCAGCAACTCACATGGAGTTTCAAAAACTTGTACAGTGATACCTGTCCGAGTTGACAAATATAGTATTGTGATTCATTGATCAGTTGACCACGTCGTCGAGCAATTTAACAATTTGTAGACTCATATCATTATAATGGAGTACCATTGCTTAATTCATGATACATAGAAAAGTCATTTTTACAAGTACTCAAGAATCTTTCACATTATGATGGCATTTTTTGCGAAAAAATATAACAACGGGGTGTTAGTACTCCAACATACAGCCTATTATGCGGGTAATATAAATATATAATTAAATGAAATTCTTACAAAACATGTCAATCAATTATAGACTTAAATAATCATTTGCTTCAATCAGACTCGAATTTAGCGCCCTGTTTCATGTCTCAAGAAAGATATCAGTTGGAAATAATTAAAAACAAAACTTGTTCTAAGATTTTAGACTAAGTAAAATAAATTAATTATGCGAAAAAAAAAACGTATTAAATTTATACACTTTTATTTCTTATTTTTTAAGAAGCCATACTCGGGGTTTTTTGTTTTACAATTAGCAATTCCGTTGACTGTAACCCAGGTTGAATTAGTCAACATTTCAACGAATAAGTCAGCAAATATTACAATCGAAAGAAAAAAAAAAAATAATAATAATAATAAGCCTGACTTTATTTATGTGAAAATAAAGTAAAAGTTCTTAGCCTATCTGGAATCAGCTGCCTTCAGTTGGCCTGACCTTATAGAGCAGAGCTCTTAGATAACAATTAACAAATAAATGTATGCGCCCAATTCACACACAAGTAAATCTCAGCACTTATTCAAGCAATAAGGGAATAAGAGAATGTATATACACATATATGTATATATAGTATATCTGTGAGAAGTTATCGAAGCCAACAAAAGCTTTGCTGACTATTCGCTGCTGTCTTTTGGCGAAACAAGTAGTTGAATTTCCTTATTCAAAAACTTAGATATTGACAAACGGAGAGCTAAACTTGTGCAACTATCTATGTGTGCAAATATGTGTGCGTGTGTGTGTGTGTGTATGTGTGTTTCAGTGTGTGTGTGACATTAAACCACACACAAACAAGTGCGCCATATTTGGCAATTGACTTTGCAGCCAACTGAGCCAAGTCACAAATATCTATTTGCCTCATACATATATATATATACATATATATATATAAATACAGATATATATAAATGTGTGTGCTTTTGTAACTGTTTACACTGCCCACTTGCGATGGCCAGCGGCTTTATAAATAATTTTGGTTTTATAAACACAAATTGACACTTCAAATTGTTTGCCAAAAATCAGAAAAGATTTAGAAAAAAAAGAGACAAAAAAAGAAAACTCAATCAATTTGAATTAAACCGCCCGCTTTGAGGCACATTGCGCGTTGAGACTTTCTGGCTCCGGGCAGTGTGCTGGAGCCGTGTCTGCATCTCTGGAATATATCATAACCTTAAGCACCAACACTTCGTGGAATTGGCAAGGCAGGTAGCCGGGTTCCACTTATTGTTGTTGCCCGAATCTGATTTGTATCGGCAAAGATCTGAGCCCAAATCGACAGCCCTCTAATGCCCCTGCGGGACGATAATGCGATAATCAAGAATGTGGCCCATAAGCGTTTTTCTGATCTTGCGAAACGAAACGGCCATGTAGCCTCAAAGGGAGTGGGAGGTGTGGCGGGGGAGTCAGCTAAGATTATGTTTGGCAAATAGCTCGCGGCTGTTGCGTTAATTAATTGTTTGTCTTGCGATTACAGCAGTTTTGCCAACTATACTCGAACAACAATAATAACAACAACAATTACGTTGCCGTCGAGAGGCTCTTCTAATCGTTGCTGACGGATTTGTGTTCTAAATTCAGATTGTAAATATTTGACATCGAAAAAATGCATTGCTACTTTATAAAAAAAAAGGAATAAATAAAAAAATGAGAACAGTTCGTTTTCAAGGTTAATAGTGTCTAAAATATATCTATAACTGAAATCAAATGATTTGTGGTTCAGATCATTTTAAATGGTATTCAAATGGTATTATAGATCTAAGAAACGAAATGTAAACAAAAGCTCAGGTAAATTAAATTACAATTTGTAAGTGCATTATTACGATAAAAATTGAAATATTCTAAAAAAAAAAAGAGTCGTTGCTTGATAAGAAAATTAATTTTTACTATGCGCCACAATAATCTTCATTTGTCCATAAGCCAACTCGTTTGGAAAAGCTTGAGCATTGAGCATTTAACGAGCTGCACTGGCTGGTGGACAAACAGGAGCATGGCGCCGGGAGGGGGGTGGCGGGTGGTGTTCGTTTTTCTTATCAGCATTATGGTTCCGCGTAATTGATCTAGTTTGTTGGGATAGTGGCGAAGCGAAAACAAATGCGTCGATCGCCCAATAAATATTAATACAAGTGTCGCCTTATGCAAGCGGCAGATGATAATGAGAAGGCAAATAACAAATTGTTATTTACTGCGTGCCAATGAGCTAATAAACACAAACTATATTATTTAAATTTTCAAAATGTAACTTACCACAGCAAAGCGAATTTTAAAAAAATACTGGCAGCCCAACACCTGTCGTAGTGTTTGTTGCGTATGTTGCATTTGCTGCTGCTCCAATTTGTGAATGAGTTTAATTGCATTTATCGATATTACTTTGTGTGGCTTGCGTCAAAGTTATCGTTTCTCGTTTGTAGCTGCTGCATTTGCTTCTGCTGCTATTGCTTCTGATGTTGTTGTTGTTGTTGTTTTAATTAGCAACACAAACACATTAACTAATACACGCACACAAACACGGAGACGGAGACGAAGGCGGGGAGGAAGGCGGCGAGGCAGTGAGGCACATGGCAAGGCGCCCACGCAACGTGCCAAAAGAAAACGCGTTTATTGAAAATGCAACTGCGACAGGCGACGACGGCAAAGAACTTTGGTAGTACGTATCTATATATGTATGTACGTATGCATGTATGTATGAATGTGTGTAGCTGCGCCAGCGACTCAGCAGCTCCCAATTGTAAGAAAAAGAAAAACAAAAACCGAACGACAAACAAAATGCAATGGAAAACTGCAACTTTTTTTAATTCCGACTTCACCACAGCGATGTAACCGATTCGCTGGAGCGCTCGCGACTAACTGAAAAACGTATCAATTTCGAATTCGGCCGCCTCAGTTTGTCTTCTTCTTACTGTTCCCCGATTGGTGTGCAAGTGCTACGCGTGCGCGCCACAACTGCTCGCCTCAAATGTCTAAACGCGACTGAAGTTAAGAGCAAAGAATCACTTACCCGCTTGCGATCGTAAAGAGCGCAAGAGTTTTATTGCTGCTCAATCAGCAGCTCCATCAACCACACTCTTTCGGTGGCATGTAAGGGCAATTCTAATAGACTTCTTAATATTGTTCCTGCACCTCATCGTGGCCGTTTGTTTCTTTTGGTCTCTTTAATTTACTAGTTCCCCATTAAGTGAAATTACTAACCGTTTTTCACACGTAAACATTTTTCCTATTGCTTGTTAAGTATGATTGAAAATATATAAAGTGAAATACATATCGCATTCGTAAATGGTATTTATTATTCTATACGAATGAAAATGTAACTATAATAATTTTATCACTATTTCCTAGACTTAACAAAAGTGATTTCAAAATAAAACAGTTAAAAGCCAACACATACACGCCAAATTTAAAAATTCGATAAATTGTATCGATTGTGCACCCAAAATTGAGCAAACGCAACCACGCAGCCCTGGCACAACAGATGTTTTTGCAATCATCTGTGTGCTGAGCAAAGTTAGCTATCTCTTTCTACACGACTAACGCGAATGCGTCAAATTGTAAATTTTTAAATTAAAACCTAGTGCAAGATGTTGGCTAAACGAATGCAGCTCTGGAGGTCGACGCATGCGGCGCTAGCAATGAGCGCCACATCCAACAAGGGTGCCACACAGGTAAGCGCAGCCAACAGCACCGGCGAATGGCGCCAGGCCAGTCTCCCCTATGACATAACCTGCAAAGCGCGGTTTGTTATGACTGATGAGTGGATGTCCAATACTCAATTAAGAATCCCTTGCAGATGCTCCAATCTCAGTGCAGTACTCGTCGGGATATGCACTTGATCACCACCACCAGCAGCAGCAGTTGGAGCACACAGCTGCACAGGCGAGTGGCCCTAGTGCCGCCGAAAACTCTACTACCGCTCTTCGCCTCCGCGTCAGTGTCGCCCGGAGCACTCAGATTTGCCTCCAGCTCCAGCACAGAAGGACCGGTGAAGGAACTGGTTGACCTGCCCGCTATACCAGAAGCGCCGATAGTGCCAGCCACGGAAAACTTATTGGATGCTGCCAATCTGGTAAATGCTTCAGGAGAAGTACCATTTGCCTCCATTGGGCTGGGCGGCTGGTCGCCGGTGGGCATGGTGCAACAGTGCATGGAATTTCTGCACTGCACCTGGGATATTCCCTGGTGGGGCACAATCGCAATCGGAACGATTTGTGTGCGCACCCTGATCTTCCCACTAGTCATCCTGGCGCAACGCAACTCGGCGCGGATGAGCAACAACATGCCACAGATGCAGGTGCTACAGCTGAAGATGACGGAGGCACGTCAGTCCGGCAATGCCATCGAATCGGCCCGCTATGCTCAGGAGATGATGCTGTTTATGCGTGAAAAGGGCGTCAATCCTCTGAAGAACATGATTGTACCATTGGCCCAAGCCCCCCTCTTCCTCTCGTTCTTCATGGGCCTGCGTCAGATGGCAAACACACCGGTGGAATCGATGCGGGACGGTGGCCTCTTCTGGTTCACCGATCTGACAATGGCCGATCCTTTCTATCTGCTGCCCGTGATAACCAGTGCCACACTGTATCTAACCATTGAACTGGGCACGGACAGCGCCCGTCTGTCGGCGGCCAACATGAACACCATGAAGTATGTGCTTCGCGCCCTGCCCATCGTCATCTTTCCGTTTACGATGAATTTCCCCGCCGCTATCTTAACATACTGGGCCTGCAGCAACTTCATCTCGTTGGGTCAGGTGGCGCTGCTGCGGATACCCGCTGTGCGGGATTACTTCAAGATTGACAAAATGCTGGTACATGCGCCCAGCTCGCTGCCCGCCAAGAAGAAGGGTTTCGTAGGCGGCATGAAGGAGTGTAAGTTACACAGTTTAGTTTTATTATTGGAATATAATCTGATTCGTATCTGTTGCAGCTTGGGACAACATGAAGATCAGCAAGGAGATCGAGGAGCGTCAGCGTTTGGATGAAATTCGCTTTGCCAAAGCCGGCAAGGGGCCGCTAGTGAAGACCTTCAAGTACGATCCCACCAAACCGCAAACTGCCGCAAACAACACTTCAGCGAATCCCGCTCAAAATCCAACACAAATCATCGGCAATCTGAAGCCTCCAAGCAAGCAGCATTAGCTGTGTCCCTGTGAAAAGAGCCCGTTTTGTTAATGTTAGGACTGTAGCCTTTAGTTTGATGACCCCCAACAAGTTGCTGCATATCTGCACGAATGCGTATGCTAAGAAATATATTCTATTTTCTATTGACATAAACAAAAACACAAAACACACTTTGCAAATTTAGCCCTTTGCCGAGATGCATTGATTTATGACCTCGGCGAGATGTTGATTCTCCAGTGCAGCGGCGACGCGCTCCTTATCCGCCAGCTGTTTGTTCACAGCCAATTCGGAGGCATGCGTTCCCGGCGTTATCTCCACGGTCACCTTGAAGCGAGGTGGCAGCGACCGCAGCAACTTCACCCGTATGGAGAGTCCAATTAACGTGGCCATCGAACAGTGGGGGATTGTGGGTGTAAAATTGATGTGCACCGAATTCTGTTTGTCGCTAACGTTTATCAGCTCCTCCTGCACCACGTGCAGTTCCTCCAGCGACAATGGATGCTCCGGATCATTGATATTCCTTATGAGATCTACGGCAATTGAGTTATTTTCAAATTGCAAAAAAAGCCCAATCCAAATTGTACTCACCAAAAATCTCTCGTTTGTCGAAGGGATCCACAATGCTTTCGTCCTCATCTTTTGCTGTTATTTGTCGCTCCTTGATCTTGCCGTAGACGCTCGGATTTAAATTTTCAATTTCTGTTGGCATTTTTGTGGGTTTTACTTATAATTTATTTCAATATTTACAATGTGTTCGCGTTTTGTTAGATTGTAGACGGACAGTGTGTACACACCCAATGTGCTAGAAATAAACACATTTAGCCAAATAATATTTATTGTAAAATCGTTATGCATCCACTGACGCATCTAGAACGTTACGCGGCGATTTGAATTTATAAATTGATTCTCATAATTAATCCAGCCACATGGACAACCTAACCGGTACAGTACTACCCACATAAATTATCAATTCACGAAGGTATCGCCTTACGTAAGGCCCTGCTTGTAATTACAGGCGTTTCACAAATATATATATATTTGTGTGCATTTTAATTAGCCTTCTCAGTATTTGCACTCATTTCTCCTCATAGACGTGAGCTGATAGCGTTTGTATTTTTAGCAACGATGTGCTAAATGCAGATGACTAACGTGCCGGCTTCCCAAGATCCCAGCATCACGGATAAATGTCAGTAATGATAGATATACGTATGTATATGTTTATTAACAATTATTATAAAATATGTATATTCTGTTCACCTGACCAAGCCAAGTTCAACACATACAACACCTTGAGCCACTTTTCAATCGCATTCAAATCGTCAGATACACACGTATAGTATATATAGTATACCGTATATAGTATAGTTACTTAGAAAAAGCAACTTGTATATGTCAAAAGATGTTGCGCTGATTTTTTAAAGCTTATAATTAGCTCGCTCTATCGCTTTAAACATCCATAAGGAAAACAAACACACACAGATATCTATAAACAATAATATTGATATAGAAACTTGGCAGCTAGTACAGCAATTAACATCAATTTACGAGCTGGTTAACATCAACGTCTAACCTGGTGGCACTACCAGTCATATTCCCATAAAATGCCACGACAACGAAGCGAATTCAACAGTTCGCACCACATTTCGTGTCAGTTCAGTTCGAGTTACAAAAGTTTTGCTGCTTCCGCAACAATGAGAAAATTTGTACGTCTCTTAAAACTTCTTTTGATTAATTTTTCGTATAATTTGAATTTCTAATTTTACGCATTTCCAGTTAGTTTTCGTGGCCTTGTGCGCCGTTTGCACTGCGGCTCCAGCACCAACTGAAGTTAAGCAGGAAACCCTGGATCATCCCAGTCCCATCAACCCGGATGTTCTCATCGATCCGAAGCCAGCCGATAAGGTTGTGCTGCTGTCCAAAGAAAAGCTTCATCGCCAGAAGCGCAATGAAGCTGCGACTCCCGCTCCGGCAAAGCCTCATTCCGCCTTGGCTAGTGAATCCTTGCAGCATGATTCCCACGCCCATGATCAGGCTCCTGCCAAGCCTCATTCCGTCCAAGCACATGCAGCACTGCAACACGATCCTGCGAGGCCAAAGCGTGAGACACCTGTGAAACCAGCTAGTGTTGCAGCACATGAATCCTTGCAACATGATGGCCACGCCCATAATCAGGCTCCTGCCAAGCCTCATTCCGTCCAAGCTCATGAAGCACTGCAGCACGATCCTGCGAGGCCAAAGCGTGAGTCACCTGTGAAACCAGCTAGTGTAGCAGCACATGAATCCTTGCAGCATGATGGCCACGCCCATGACCAGGCTCCTGCCAAGCCTCATTCCGTCCAAGCTCATGAAGCACTGCAACACGATCCTGCGAGGCCAAAGCGTGAGACACCTGTGAAACCAGCTAGTGTTGCAGCACATGAATCCTTGCAGCATGATGGCCACGCCCATGATCAGGCTCCTGTCAAGCCTCATTCCGTCCAAGCACATGCAGCACTGCAGCACGATCCTGCGAGGCCAACGCGTGAGACACCTGTGAAACCAGCTAGTGTTGCAGTACATGAATCCCTGCAACATGATGGCCACGCCCATGATCAGGCTCCTGTCAAGCCTCATTCCGTCCAAGCTCATGAAGCACTGCAGCACGATCCTGCGAGGCCAACGCGTGAGACACCTGTGAAACCAGCTAGTGTTGCAGCACATGAATCCCTGCAACATGATGGCCACGCCCATGATCAGGCTCCTGTCAAGCCTCATTCCGTCCAAGCTCATGAAGCACTGCAGCACGATCCTGCGAAACTAAGGCAAACGGCACATGTGAAGCCAGCTAGTGGTGAAGCCCATGAATCTTTGCAACATGATCACCAAAAGATTGCTGCCGCTGTTCAGCGCAATCGCCGCGACATTCCAGTGCCCACCCAAGTCAAGTCGACAGCCGCGCCCAAGGTGGAGCAAAAGATAGATGAGATACAAGTGGAAGAACCGCATGCTCACGTGCCGTACATTAGTGATCTGGTCAGCAGCACCCCACACAGTCCACTGCGTCATCATCCAGTGCCCGTTGCGGAGCTCTTCAGCAAGCCCAAGTCCGCTGAGAAACCCAAATCCAGCAGTAGCGCTGAAGAGAGCAAGGAGAGCAAGGAAAGCAAGGAAAGCAAGGAAAGCAAGGAGAGCCAAAAGGCCAAGTAACGACCTTAACTTTTACGCTCTTAACGTTAATTACTTGGACATGTTACAACTCGAAAAAACCAGATATGAAAAATAAATAAAAATATACAAATACATATAGATTTATTAAAAAGTGCTTACAAAACCTGATTTGCTAATTATTACTAAATAAATAAATAAAAATAATGCTTAGACAGTTCCACTGACATTCGCATCCGTTGCTCCAATGCCAAAGTATTCATCCGATTTGAAAATAGGCACCGCCTGAAAATCGCCTTCAGTTGTCAGATTGGTTTTGGATGCTGCTCCTCCACTTGCATCTACGGTGGATAGTTTGGCCTTAAGTGGTTTAAAGAGCAGTCCCCTTATGCTGTAGTCGGTGATATTGAGCTCCTGCTCAGCCACATCCACAGAGCGTTCCACCTCGTTTAGGTTCTCGCTGACCGTGCTGACAAACTGTTCCAAGTTGTCGATGCGATTGCGCAGCTCCTCAAAGTTGTCGCTGAAGCTCAGAATGCTGCACACGTGATTGGCCATAATACCGTTGGTCTCGGCGCGCACCTAATGTACAGTTATTTATTATCCTTGAGATTACTTTCTCCCTATGCAACACTTACGGAGCTCAAGACTGTTTCAAACTCGTCCAGACGCGCAAGCATATCCTCAATGTTGGTACAGAGTGGATTTATCTGCAATTACTCTAGCCGTGTAATTAATAACTGTAAAACTCTATATCGTATGATTAATTACCTCCCTGTCCAAATCGGCGTTTTGTATAATTTTTGCATAGTCCTTTGCACTCTTCTCGACCATTTTTATTATCTGTTTTGCTCTCGTGCTTCTTCCAAAGGGAAATGAACATGCAACAGTTGTGGGCACCCAAATAATTTAACATTGGCCGAACTGTTATTAACATGTCGTAAGTTACTAGGGAAAAATATATGAATTTGTTCATGAAGTCATCTGTTAAATGGTCTAAGCAAAGGTTTAATAAAAGTGTGTCGAAGTCAAAAATAAATGAAGGATTATTACTTTTAGTTCATTTCAAAAAGCAGCTAACTGGCTAATAACAGAATCAGTTAACGCCATAGCATAACAGCTGTTGCTTAACATTATTGTTATTTTAGTAATTTGAGAAACGACTCGCATTTTCTCCAATCCCTTTAGTGTTATTCGTGTCGGTTGCTGTTGAAATAATAATAGAATTGGAATGTTACTCTTGAAGACGTTTTTTAATTCTAAACTGCCTAATGTTTTCCCTTTTTTGATGCAATTATCGTTATCGATTGTAATGAACACAACTGATTGGCAGTGCTGGGCAACGCCAACTCTAATTAAGTTGGCAACAATGCATATTTTGCAAATTCTATTATCGCGTTTGTTGTATTGATTTCTAAGCGTGATTTGCCGAAGGAGCGCCAGGGGAAAACACACACACACACACACACACGCACATACAGACAAGCCACTGCAGCCATGAGCAATTATCGCGGCATCGGAGGCGGCGGCTTTCCGTACAAGAAGCAGCCCAGCGGTGGAAACAATATGAGTGCAGTGCCACCGCCGCCGGCATTGAGCCATAATCGAGGAGGCGCCCGTGGCGGATTCGGCTTCAGCTTCAACCGGGGCGGCAGGGGGAGCAACTTAGGTGTTGCAGCGACCAGCACCACCGGCGGCACAGGCAGTAGCACAACATCCAAGCACGGCTACTCAACGCTGGAGTCCATCAGCCAATACACAAACTCGTCCAATTTTGTGGGTAAGCGGAAGCAGCACATGGACGACGATTACTTTGACGACGATGATGAGCCGTCACAGCAGCAGCAGAAGGCGGCGCTGGAGCAAGCATATATACCGGCGCCGGGATCGCCAGGTGCGCCAGCAGCTAAGCCTGATGAATCCGAATCCGATGAGGATCCGTTGGAACAGTTCATGGCTGGCATTAATCAGCAGGTGGAAAAGGAGAAGGTGCGTGCAGCGACCGAGCAACAGCAGAAGAGCAGTTCAGCGCCGCTGGAGAAGAAGGGCGTGCGCGGCGACATTGACGACGAGGATGATGAGGAGAGCTATTATCGCTATATGGAGGAGAATCCCAATGCCGGTCTGCGCGACGAGGGCTCCGACCCGGAGATCGACTACGACGAGGATGGCAATCCGATAGCGCCGCCCAAGAAGAAGGACATTGATCCGCTGCCGCCCATTTATCACTCGGAGATCGAGTACGAACCCTTCGAGCGCAACTTTTACACGCCCCACGAGGACATCGCCCAGCTGGACGAGGATCAGGTGCGCGAACTGCGTCGTACCCTCGGCGTTAAGGTCAGCGGCGCACTGCCACCGAAACCGGTGAGCTCCTTTGGCCACTTTGGCTTCGATGATCAGCTGCTGAAATCGGTGCGCAAGGCGGAGTACACACAACCCACACCCATTCAGGCACAGGCGGTGCCCACTGCTCTCTCCGGCCGTGACATCATCGGCATTGCCAAGACGGGCTCCGGCAAAACGGCTGCCTTCATCTGGCCCCTGCTCACCCACCTGATGGATCAGCGTGAGCTGCGACCAGGTGATGGACCCATTGGGCTGATTCTGGCGCCGACGCGCGAACTCTCGCTGCAGATCTACAATGAGGCGAAGAAGTTTGGCAAGGTGTACAACATCAATGTGGTGTGCTGCTATGGAGGCGGCTCCAAGTGGGAGCAGAGCAAGGCTCTGGAGCAGGGCTGTGAAATTGTGGTGGCGACACCCGGTCGCATGATCGACATGGTCAAGATGAAGGCGACCAATCTGCGGCGTGTCACCTTTCTGGTGCTGGACGAGGCAGATCGTATGTTTCACATGGGCTTCGAGCCGCAGGTGCGCTCCATCTGCAACCATGTGCGTCCGGATCGACAGACGCTGCTCTTCTCGGCGACGTTCAAGAAACGGATTGAGCGACTTGCTCGCGATATACTCACCGATCCAGTGCGCATTGTCCAGGGTGATTTGAACGAGGCCAATCAGGATATTACTCAGCATGTTTATGTGTTTCCCAATCCGCTGCAGAAGTGGAACTGGCTGCTGTGCCATCTGGTCAAGTTTCTCTCCGAGGGCGGCGTGCTCGTCTTTGTCACGAAGAAGGCGGACGCGGAGACGGTGTCCAACAATCTGCTGCTGAAGGAGCACAATTGCCTGCTGCTCCATGGCGACATGGATCAGGCGGATCGCAACAAAGTCATAATGCAGTTCAAGCGCAAGGAGTGCGACATTTTAGTGGCCACCGATGTCGCTGCCCGTGGCCTGGACATACCCCACATCCGCAACGTGATCAACTATGATATTGCCAGAGACATTGATACCCACACTCATCGCATTGGGCGCACAGGTCGCGCCGGCGAGAAGGGCAATGCGTACACCCTCGTCACCGACAAGGATAAGGAGTTTGCTGGGCATTTGGTGCGCAATCTGGAGGGAGCAGATCAGGCAGTGCCCGATGATCTCATGGAGTTGGCCATGAAGAGCTCCTGGTTCCGCAGCTCACGCTTCAAGCAGGGCAAGGGACGCAAGCCCCTCAACAATTTCATGGGGCTCGGCTATCGTGAGCAGTCCGGGAATGCTGCGACTGGCACAACGACTGGCTCGGCGCCGGGCAAGGGACCGGCGAGCGAGACGAGCAGATCGCTGTCGGGTGCCGGACCCGCCACAGATCGCTATTCGGCAATGCGGCAGGCCTTCCGCTCGCAGTACAATTCTCAGTTTCGCGCCTCCAGCGATCGCACCTGGGAGCAAACAGTGCCGGAGACGGGCGTCTTTGCGGCACCGCCCCCGCCACCAGCGCCGACAGCAATCGGTGGCGCCTCCTCTTTCTCCTCCTCCGCCTCGTCTAGCAACAGCAGCCTGGAGGCAAAGCGCGCCAAGAAGAGTCGCTGGAACTGAAACCAGAACGAAGAAGCCACAAACAGCGAAACTGAATCGAAATCATTTTTGGTTTAATTTCATATTATTTAATGTGTATTTGCTTTTGTTTCATCATTTAAAATTACAGCTTAATCGCTAAATATATATATATAATATATATATATATATATTTATATATATATATATATATATATATATATATATATATATACATATATATATATATATATATTTATATATCCATTATATATATTATGTTAGGTAATTACTCGTATGTACACTCTCCATTTCTCACACTCGATTCAATAAAAATGTCATTAATTTTAATTATGTATCATTTATTTTCATGTTTTTGTTTTATGTGTATTTTATTTTGAATAAAATCACATTTGCGCATATTCCATGGCCTTAACTGCCCCCGAAACGGTTTCAATTTTTTTTTTGTTTGTTTTTTACTTAACTGCACTTTCTCGCAGTGCATAGTTTTCGAAAGCGAATTCGAAATCGAATCGAATCGTGGCGAATTGCCCAAAATTACCGTTAGCTATGCACTGCGATAACAATGTGTTCGAGTTTATCATTTTTTTAGTAAGTATTTTTTGCATTTTTTTTTTTAGAAGCGAGAAAAATGTCGAAGCTATTCGTAAATTTATGAAATATTGTTTTACAATGAAACCACTACGATTTTTTGTTTTTCTTTTCTTCTTCTTTCGATTTTTGTTGTTTTTCTTTCAATAAGAGTACGACGACAAGCATTATATATATATGTATATATATATATATATATATATATATTTTTATTTTTTTTAATTTAGCATATGGTTTGATATAACATTGAGAAGAGTTGAGATTCATTTAACTACCACATTGACGAGATTTTGCATTGTTTAATTGTTTTAAGCTTTGTTTTTTGTTTTTTTGTTGTTTTTTTTTTTCTTTTTTTTTTGACTTGAACAGCTCGTGAAGCATTTGATTTCGCTTAAAAATTTTGCTATTTTGTAATTTGTTTTTAGTTTTGTTTTCAATTAGTCACTATATGTGTAATTATAATAATTATCATATAGCTTTCTTCTTCAATTTCTCTCTCTTTTTTTTTGGTTTTATGCTGCTCAAAAATCGTTCGGTGTGTGGATATTATACATATATAGATATATATATATATAAAAATTGGTCCATGTTAACCACATCATACGAAATGAAAGCAAGAACTGAAATATGAAAAAAAAACAAGGGTATACAAGTAAAATAATTACAAATTAATGAACTCATATGGAAATGAAAAGAAACCCAAATTGTTTATTTTTTTTTAAGCAATACTCTTTTTATATATGTATTTTTTATTTATATGTATTAATAAATTTTTTTGTTTTGTTTTTTTGTTTGTTTGTGTGTGTTGTTTGTTGTTGCCGCATATAACATACATATCGATATATACAAGTTTATTTTATTTAATATTATTTTATTTAAGTTCTAGAATTAAATTTGATTTAAATTTTTAATAGTTTGTTTGCGCTTAAAATACTACAAGTACAATTCTTTTATTTTACAATTAATATTTTACGCTTATGCTTTTTAATTTTTTGTTTGTTGTTGTGTTTTTTGTTTTGTTTTGTTTTGTTTGTTTGTTTAGTTTACGGCGCTAAATCAATTTATTTTATAGGCATTAAAAAATAATTAAAATTATGCAACAATTAAAATGTAAATGTTTTCATTTTATAAATGTAATAAAATTGTTGGGATTTTGTTTTCTTTGCTCATGCTTCCCTTTTACTTGTTGTATTTTTCTTTTTCTCTTTTCTTGTAATCATTTACTGCGTTGTTGTTGTAATTGTTATTTGTTTTTGTTCTTTTTCTTTACTTTTTTAATACTTTGTACAATTAACAAGAAATATTTCATATAAGAAAATGTTAATCAAATGTCTGAAGAACGCTTTGGGCCACATGCAATTTTTTCAATAAATGACAAAAATTATATTTAAAAATAAAAACTTAATTTTTTTGTGGGGGGCCATCGAAAATTACACATTTAAATTCGTAAATTTCATTGAAGGAATTTTTTGATGCTCTCAACTGAATTATTTATACGGTATAATGACTGTTTGTTGTTTTTGTTGTGGTTGTTGTTGTTACATATTTGTTTTCTTTTATGTATGTTTTCTTTTTGCTTTAAATTAAATGCCAATTAATTTAATTAATTAATTTTTAAATCACATTTCATTGTTTTTCAACACTGCAAATTCAAATTTTGCATTTGCTGCTTCGATTTTGTGTTGCTTGTTGTTGTTTTTGTTGTGTTGTGTGTGTGTGTGTGTGTGTGAGTGTGTGTGTGTATGTGTGAGGAAACGAAAATGTTTATTTTTCTTTTTTTTTTGCAGTACGCGACTGTACGCTATAGTGCACAATTCATTAAAATTAATAATACTATATACAATAATGGTTTAGGCCATTTTATTTCTTGTTTTTCGTTATCATTTTTGTTAAGGAATTTCTCAAACATGCTCTCCATAATGCACAGCTACCAGCTCAGGCGCGTTTAATCGAATAACGTGGCCAACAAGTCGTCGCTGGCATTGTTATTGCTGCTGCCACTCGACGGTGGCGTATTCAAATCCGGCTGCGGATCCAGGTACGACAATATTTCCATTGGGTCCATGTCTTGCAAAAGCTGTAAGCACAAAATTGAGATTAGCTTATTGGCTGTGATTAGGACAATTAGCGAACTTACATTCAAATCGTGCCCGTTGTTGTCCAGGCCAGCGGCGGAGGGATCAAAATTCTGCAGCTCGGCACTCAGATCGTTTTCGAACTTCAGTTGCGTCTGACTGCTCATCAGGGAGTTGAGCAGCTGCTCCTGCTGTGACTGCTGTTGCTGCTGCTGCTGCTGGCTGTCCGAGTTGGACATGCTGGTGCTGCTGCCCAAGCTGCGACTGGGCGTGCCCGGCGTCTGTGGTGAATTGTGTCCGGTGCTGTTGTTGTTGTTGTTACTATTGGAGGCATTGGGCGTGCCACCGCTAATGGGCTCATTGTGCGACGAGCTGACACTGGGTGGACCACCCGGCGTCATTGGATGGCTGGCCGCGCCCGGAGTGTGCGGCGTATGTGGCATCTATAAACGTAACCCGACAAGGATTAGTTCAAGTTTTGGAACTGTGCATTTCGGATTATTTGTGCTTACCTGATCGCTTAGCGATTTCTCCATGGCATTGAGCTGATCCAGCGAGTTGACGCCATCGCTGTTGGCCAAACTGTTGCCATCGCCGTGGCTGCCACTGAAGCTGTCATAGCTGCTGCGATTGCCACTGCAAAAAAAGAAACAAGCAGACAATTTGAGGATTAGGTTCTGTTAATCAACCTCAAAATATTTGACTCGACTCAAAAAATATGTCTTATCAAAAACTAATGAAATCTGTATTAAATTAATTCAAATCTCTGCAAAACATTTGTGCTTTTTATTATTATTATTACTTACAGTTGGGCACCGTTGGTGGCGTTGTTGTTGCCCATCATGTTGCCGTTGGCAATGGAATTCATGTCGTGCATGTTGTATGGACTCATCGCCTGTGAGTTGTCCCAGGTGGGCAGCTGCGTGGAGCCGGGCGACATGACCTTGGCAATGTCATCGCACAGCTCCTGCTTGATAGCTGGCAAGCCCACGCTGCCAACACTGCTGCTGTTGTTGTTGTTGTTGTTGTTGCTGCTACTGCTGTTGTTGTTGTTGTTATTATTGTTGCTGGCGCTGCTGTTGCCGGCGGTGGCGGCGCTGCCATTGGGTGGCGCCACATTGCCTGGTGGTGCGCCCGCTTGCGGTGCATTCGGCATGCCACCGTTGTGCTGCAAGGCGCGCCAATTGGCCGACGAATCAATGATCACCTCATCCACATCGGAGGTGCTCAGCGTGTTGAGTATGGCCCAGATGTACTGATCGATCTCCAGGGTGTCTGTGATGGCCGACTTGCTACACTCAGGGCATCGCCACGAGCCACGCTCACTGTTGATCATCAGATAAGCCTCCAGATCGAAGCACTGGACGTGCTTGCACTCGTGACCACGTGCCGGCAACCGTATTCGACTCTTCGTGATGGGACACTTCAATGAGATCTTGGCGCATTGTTGTGCGGCATCCGGGCTGCCGCCATTCGAGACACCGTCCGCACCCACGCTGGGCATGCTCAGGTTGCGCTTGATCTTCTGCACGCTGTGCTCCAGCGGCAACAGATTTCGCTTGTGCAGCGTCTGCAGCACCTGGCGCACCGATGGCCGATGGACTAGTTGCAGCACAAACAAATGCGACTGCAAAAAGCGGATAATGTGATTTAGGAAGCTTATTCAGTTGGACAGAGTTCGATGTGAGACTTACACAACAACAGGAACTGGCGGTCAGCTGGAGCGTATTGCGTCCCGGCTGGCAGACGGCCTTCAGATAAAGTGGACGCAGCGCTGTGCTGTTCTTCTCGGAGCGCTCGATGTTGAGCGGCGTGGCATTCGCGGAGACGGTGACGGTGTGCGGCCAGTTCGTGTTCATCTGGCGATCGTCTTGATGGAAGCATTTCAGCTGCAACTCCAGATCGGTGCTGTAAACGCAAATTACGAATTCAATTACTAAACTGACAAAGCATTCCATCCAAGTGGCAGTGGCTACTTACCGGCACATCAGTGTGTTGTAGACATTCTGCTTCAGATGGAACACATGATTGCTCACTGAGAGATTGTGGAGCAGGCGAAACGGTGGCAATATGATGCCATCGCGCACCGGGAATGTCAGTCTCATCTCTTCGCCTGTGTAGCAAGTAGCAAGTGAGGCAAGTGAGGCAAGTGATTAGAATATGATTTGAATATGATCAATTTTATGGCACTTACTGCTATCCATTGGCGGCTTGATGTCCGGATTGGGGCTGACATAGGGCACGCTGCAGGCAGGCGTCAGCGGCGGCGTCGGATTGCCAGGAACTGGACTGTGCTGATAGTTTTGCTGGAAACTGTTTGAGGCAAAATAAGCAACGGTATTGCGAGGAAGGAGTTAATGCAACTTACCCTTGATTCTGGTAGGGATTGCCGGTGCTGGCAACGGCACCCGGTCCAGCCGGGCACATGCCGCCTTGACCAGCGGCCACGCCCATGGCGCCGCCATTGCCGCCGGGATAGAATTGCGCCTGATGGACGCCGGCGCCAGCGCCGTAGCCGACACCAGCGCCGCCACCTTGCGGCACAAATCGCTGCTGTCCCATGCAGCCGGGACCGGGTCCCATGCCAGCGCCACCCATGGGCATCAGAGGATTACCGCCGCCTGGCCCCATAACCGGTCCACCGTTGGGACCCATGCCATTGCCGGCTGATAAACGGCTGTAGGCGCCAGCGGCACCACCAATCCCACCACCCATGGGACCGGCACGTCCATAGCCATTGCCGGCACCCGCTTGCATGGGCAGCGGTACGCCGGCACCGCCACCGGCACCGGGATGCATCTGCTGGCCACCGTACATTTGGGGTGGCTGCTGCTGTTGCTGTTGCTGCTGCTGCTGTGCAGGATTCGGATAGAGGCCGCCGCCAACGCCAGCGCCGGCGCGCTTCTGTGCCATGTGCATCTGCGGATGTGGATAGGGCGCCATGCGGCGCTGCTGCTGCTGCGGCGGATGCTGTTGCGGATAGCCGCCATTGGCCATGCCCTGCATCTTGGCCATCGGATTCATGGCGCCCATCTGCTGCTGCATGCCGGGCATACCCCCACCAGGACCCATCGACATGCTCTGCATTTGGTTCATTGGCGTCATCTGCAAATAATTCAAATATAATTTAAATAAATATTATTATTATATTATTGTATTATAACTTTTCAATTGGTTGATCAATATTTGCAATATAAATGACAAAATAAAAATTAAAAATTCTTTTTCTAACCCAGGATTTGATATTTAATCAACTCCAATTAAATGTGTGATATTTTTGTGGGTTGCTTGTTGGTTTTTGTTTAAGTGCTCCTCGAGTTGTGTGAACGCTAATTGCCCAACACTTTTGTTATTTCCATGTCGCTGCTTGGCAGTAATTAGCCAATTCCATTCCCCCCACTTTCCCATTCTCAACTCTCTCTCACTCTCGCTCTCTCTCACACTCGGGCGATCTGTCTCTCTTTGTATAACAGTTCAGTATTCACAGGCGCTGCTGTTGCTGCTGCAGCTGCACTTTGCCCATCGTCATGCAAACAATTAAATTTGTTATTGAATGCGCATTGAAAGCCGCTCGCCGCCAACTGCGCAGCAGCCAGCCAAGTGGAGCTAGAACGCTTCAGCATGCGACGACATCCGAGAACCCAAAACCCAACCGAGCCCAACAACAACAACAACAGATCCGAAGCCGAACCCGAAGTCGAAGCAGAGTCGTGTGCTCAGCCGAGTTGAGACATCAAATCCGTCGGCTGATTTACCTGTCGTTCGTCAAGTGGTCACATCTTTCGTAATTGGTTCGCTTCCCCCTGCCCCCTACACCCTCCACATGCCCCTTGTGAGCAGCAGCAGCGCAATATGAATGCCATATTCTCAAATGACCTTGCCAACATACATATATACATATATAGATATATAGATATATATATATATATATACGTAGGGTTTCATGAGTCTGTTATGAAACTTATTAAAGTGCGCTTTTTTATAGCAACTGGGAACTGATCATAAACAAAGATCATGTTCAATTTTCACAGAGCAATCAATCAGTATTTTGTATTATGTTCAAGCTGTGATTTGTTCAACAAATATAATCGATTGTATTTGTTTTAAAATATTTCCATATTGTTGTTATTCACATTAAATGCTCCCTTTTCTGCTGCCATTTGCTGCAAGATCTGTGAACAAACTTTAAGCTTTAATACAATTAAAAGCTGCCTTTAGCTTTTGTCATTTGTGAGGAATTCAATTTCGATTGCCTGTTCTGTTTTATACGACGTTAATGGGGAAAGGTGGGCATAAAAAAACACACACAGTCTGTTTATGGACTCAAATGAATTTCGAAATGCCAACAGCTGTCCATAAGCAGTTGCTGGTGCTGTTGCAGCTGCAGTCACCAGTCACATTGCATGAAGTCATCATCGCAATTTACTCACCTGATGATGCCTTTGTGCGCCAGCATTGCCATAGCCCATGCCGGCCATGCCCATGCCGGCTTGACCTTGGCCATTATAGCCGCCCTGTCCGCCGCCGTTCATGTATTGGCCATTGCCGTTGCCCATCATTCCACCGCCATTGGCAACCGGATGCATGCCACCACCCATCTGCAACAGTCGAAGACAATAAGAGATTAAAGGAACTGCTCCTCTGCTGTGCCGTTCCACCTACCTGACTGTAACCACCCATGGCTTCCATATTGGACATGTGTTGCTGCTGCTGTTGTTGCTGCTGCTGGCTGGCTGCCACCATATTAGGGTAACCAGTGCCGCCGACGCCGCTAACGTTGCTGCTGCTGCTGCCGCCTTGTGCCTGGCCGGAGTTGCTGCTGGCGTTGCTCAAAGCACCCAAGGAACTGGCCGAGCTGCTGCCGCCCAGCGATGTGAACTCCGAATTGGGACCGAAGGTGTTGTTCAAACTGCGCAGGCTGTCGCCACCGACGAGCTCATTGGCTAGCATAAAGTTGCCTCCGCCGCCCGCCGAGCGTTGTTGGTGTTGTTGATGTTGCTGATGTTGCTGATGCTGCTGCTGTTGATGTTGATGTTGCTGCTGCTGGTGTTGCTGGTGTTGTTGCTGGTAGGCCAAAAAACTTTCGCGTTGCTGTTGCTGGTATTGCTGTTGCTGCTGTTGATTGTAGTACTGTTGTTGTTGTTGTTGCTGCTGCTGCTGTTGCTGCTGGTGCTGCTGTGCGTCGGAGACGCTGTTGCTGTTGCTGCTGCTGTTGTTATTGTTGATGATGGTGCTGCCACCTGGCGGTGAGATTTGGCCCCCTGTGGCTGGCGCCCTTGAGGAGCCCGCCTGCTGGTTCATTTCATCATTTTTTCTGCAATAATCACAGCAAACATCATAGAAATAATTAGTTCCAATCATTCCAAGCAAAACAGTTCCTGCTAATCAGGATAATTATCAATGATCAACGTACTTTTTTCAAATAAACGCGAAAGTTTTTATTTTTCAAATGCTTTCACAAGACAAGTTTATTTCAATTTGAAGACTTAAAGCCAAAAATAATGTGACAAAGGCGGCAAAGGCAAGAGTGGCAAGGCAAAAATAAAAATTAACAAAATAAGCAGTCAACAGGTGGTTGATTTAGGCCATAAAAATGCTGCTGAATGGATTAAAATAAGTGGGGATTGGAAGCACTTAGAAGGGTTTTTTTTTTCTTAATGTTGTTGTTTATGTTATAAGCCTAATTTGGCATTTAAATACTTTATATTTATATATATATATATAAAATGAGATATTTATTCGTTACAAGGAATATAAAACATGAGTTTAAAATATATTTATATAAACACAGCATAATAATTCTGTAGAATTTTATAAATAAATACAAAGATATGTATTTTATTTTGCACTTGTGTGAGTCAGTTTTACTGTGTTCTACTTTGAAAATATATATATATAAATATACATATATATGTGTGTGTGTGTGTGTGTGCAACTGTACTTGATGTTTCTTTTGGATAATCTTTCCCATACGTTTTGCAATTGTCAAGTCGATTATAATGGGCACAGTTTAATTTTGTTTTGTTTGTTGTCTGCTGTGTGCTGTGCTGTGTGTTGTGTGTCTCATCGATGATGTCAGCTGTATGCTCACGATGCTCTCGCCATTATTAAGTACAACAACATGATCATGATCACGACAATGATGATGATCATCGCATGCACATTTCATCATTGTCATGCTGCTCTGCTGCTGCTGTTGTTAGTTTATTTGAATTGCATTTTGTTTTGTGTCACTTGTCGCACAATTGCGCTTCTTCTGCGTCTTCTTCTGCGTCTTCTTCTTCTGCGTTTGACATTTAAATGCCTAAAATGTCAAATGGGCTCAGGGCTCGAGCAGCTCATACAACCACCGCCCTCACCCTCACCAGCCTGCCCACTTGCTACTCCGCGCCGCTTTAGTTATCTGTTCGTTCGTCGTCTCGTCAAAGTTCCATTTAAATTGTTTTCACATTCGCGTTTTGATGGAGCGACTTTTAAGGTAAAAATAATTAAGCATATTTGCTAGCCAATGAGAACACAAACACAAAACACAAAACGCAAAACGCAATGCGAATTGGAAAAGTACAAAATACAAAAAAAAAAATACAAATACAAATAAATAAAAGAGAAAACAATACAGAAATATAAAGTAACACGCTCACAATAATTGCGCATCTACAAAAAAAAAAAAAAAAAAAAAAAAACCGCGCCGCACAACAAAAGCAAATAGCAAATACAACAAAAAGAACACACAACACCAACACCAGCAACAACAGCAACAGCAACAACAGCAATAGCAACAACAAAATGGCAAATGTAAATAAATAGCACACTAAGCGATTGGTTGATAATCGCATGACGACCGCTGCTTGCTGCTTGCCGGCAGCAGGGTGGTTTGGGGTGTGGCAGTGGGGCGGCGGGGGCGGGGGGGGATTGGCGTTGGAGTGGGAGCTTAGGTATTCGAGTGAACCTGTGATTGTAGCAAACGTAGCTGTGACGATAAATTAACATTGCGTTCAGCTAATCGACGGGTGAAGAACAGGCGGAAAGTGGCGCTTTAAATGCGGGTCAGGAGGTCAGCTGCAACTGGACAGGATTGATAATCAGCAGGTGGGGGGGAGGGGGGCACTTTTGTGTGCCATGCTTCAAGGCTGAGCACACAACAACAACAGTTTGAAAAGAGAGAGGAAAGAAACTACTTTGACTCTAGCACAAGCCAGAAGAAGTCGATTGGATTTGGCAGTTGGGTTCATCAGCAGCAAATTGAACCGGTTTTTTTGTTGTTTTTATTGAGCTAGAAAATCAACATTGCTTGATTATTTATGAAACTATTTGACACGGTTCGCTTTGCGGAAAGTTCTTTTGCACCTAATAAGCAAACTTAGAAGATTTGCTGTGATAAGCAAAAAAACAGGCGAGATAAGAGTGAAGATGCTACCAGGGAAATTCCAATGAAACAATGAAATGTTTAACTATAGTATTATAATATTACTATTTAGTCATGCTAGATTTCAAGAAATTTACCATCTTTAATTATTAGAATTTAACGAGATTCGAAGGAATTCTGTGTTTCCAGGTAAATTTGATAAGAGTATTTAAAAAAAAAACAACCGTTGAAAAATGTGCCTATCTTTGTTGTACAACTTCCTAAAACATCATGCAATGTTATTGAGCGGCTGCTTATTATTAGTATCTATGTGTGTCTGTGTGTGTGTGTGCATGTATCTACTTAGTTACCGTTATGAGCAACTTCCTGTTAATGTGTTGGCTTGCTGCCTTATAAACAACATAACCTTCACAGCCAGATACTGTATGAGAAAAAACAGCTATGGAAAGAGAGACAGAGACAGAGAGAGACAGAGAGAGAGGGAGAGAGAGAGAAAGACAGAGAGAGAGAGAGAGCGCGCGCGATCGACAGTGTTATGTAGAGCGCAAGAGAGTGCAAGGTGTAAAAAAAAAAAAACAGCAAGCAACAACAACAACAAATTGCTCAACGTGCTTAGTACAGATAGCTGTTAAAGATGACTGACAGAGGGCACTGGGCGGGGAGGTGGGCGGGGCATAACCTAAAAACATACGTTCGTCAAGTTGACGTTACGTTAACGTTACGTTCTGCCTCATTATGTGACTTACAATTTGCATTACATGACAGCTAATGAGAGCGACAGAGACAGCGAGTCAATGTATATATATGTGTGTGTGTGTGTGTGTGTATATTTGTGTGTGTGTGTGTGTTGAGCTGATGACGCCGTTGGCATTTGTTGTAGCGCTTTGTTTTTGTGGGTTGTACTTTGATTAGATATAAATTTCTTTATTGATTAGATAATAAAGATCGCGAAAAATAACCAAAATAGACACCTAAAAACAACAACAACAACAACAGCAACAACAGCAACAAAATAGGCGCAAATTCTATTCAGACAGCAAACAGATGGAAAATCAGTGCATGATCCGATCCCCTAACCCCCGCCCCTTGTCACATGGCACCCCTCCCGCTCTCCCTCAGTCTATAATTGTAAATTTGCGCACACTTCAATTTGCGGCGCTCGTAAAAAATTGTTTTTTTTTTTTTTTCTGTCGAATGATTTCCGTGTTGTTTCTGATGGGTATCAAAAGGGGTACGAGGGAACATGGGGAGGGGGAGGAGGGGGCAGGTGAGGTTGTACAAATAAAGCGCTAAAACTTTGCGTGTATTTTTTTCAAGATGCGCTGATTTTTGGACTATTTTGGAATTTGACTTTTTTTTTACGCTGAGTGAGTTTTGAAATATTAAATTCGAATTCAATTTTGTTGTCTTTTGTGTTTTTATTTTGATTTGTTTTGTCTGAGCAGAGGAGGGTTGATTATGTCAGCAGCTGAAATGAAATATGCGTTTTTTATGTGCGCTCTTTTCCAGGGTTGGGGGCTTAGATGAATTACTAGGCTGAGGCGTGGTTGGGGCTAACACAATATTGCACAACAAATACAAACAAATATATATATATATATATATATATATACATATTGACGTATATTGTGTCTGGCTGGTGAGTTTATGATTGGCAATGTCTACGGCAAAAAATGCAGCTAAAAACTGCTGGCGGAAGAGAAAAAACAAATATGCATATAAAAAATAAGTGCAAAACTTTTGTCTTGCCAGTTTTTTTCATTTTTTTGTTTTTGTTTTTTATCTTATGGTTTTTATTGTTGATGTCGTGTGTGCTTTTATAGGCGACATTTGCCGGCGCGTGCAAAGCGAAATACAACTAAAACAAAGACAGATACAAAAAATTGCCAGACACGTGCGTGAAACAAAACGAAACCTGAGTTTTGATAACCAATAGACCCCAATAGACCGGCAGCTATATCATATTTTGTGCCTGTTTAGTTGTTGTTGTTCTTGTTGTTCTTGTTTTCGACGTCTGAGTAATATTCGATCGATTCACGCTGGAACATGACAGGCAACAAGGCAACAAGGCTACAAGCGACAAACAGGCAGACACTGGAACATCAGCCGAATGCCAACGGACTGCAGGACAACTGTGTGCCAAAAACAGAAGGCGACAGCAAGCCGCACACAAACACACACACACTCTCACACACACTCACACACACACACACTCACTCACTCACACACACACACACGTAGAGCTGTGTCCAGTATTTGGTGTAAAAACAATAATATACGAAATATTGAGCGACAGGCGACAAAGAGAGTTAGAGAGAGAGACACAGAGAGTTAGAGAGAGAGAGAGAGAGAGAGAGAGAGAGAAAGAGAGCGTGTTAGGGAAGGTGTCGTTTCAATTTCACATTTCAGAACCAATAGCCAATAACCAAACCATTCCCCCAACACCCAACCCCTGCTTGAAACCATTGTACTGCTGCTGCTGCTGCTTCTGCTGCTGCTGCTGCTGCTGCTGATTTCGATACCCTCTCAAAATGCGTTTGACAGTTATTTTCAAGGGTGTTTAATGCTGAACCGAACCGAACCGCATCACATCGCATACCACAAATCCTCTGCCAAACTCTGCTCCCTCCTCTGCCTTTCCCTTATGCAATTGCATTTGTTGTAAATTGCTGCGCCTGAATTTTTGCTCGTTATACCCTGAAAACCCATTGAAAATGCGTAGACGGGGTATAATGAAGTTGTGCAAAAGTATGTAACAGCCAACCTCAGATATATACATATATATTCTTGATCAGCTGCCATATTTGTCTGTCCTCATAAATTATATAATTTATTTATTTATTTATTGTTTATTTTTCATTTTAATCTTTTAAAGTTTTTGGTCTGCATTTGGTGCACATTAAATAAATAAATAATGCTTTGAACATTTGAGTATTTAAATCGACGCA